GGTTTCACCATGTTGACCAGGATGGTCTCGATCTCTTGACCTCGTGATCCACCCGCCTCGGCCTCCCAAAGTGCTGGGATTACAGGCTTGAGCCACCGCGCCCAGCCGAAACCTGCCCTTTAATCCCTGCTGTCTTCCTCATCCAGAACCTGCTCCATCCACAGGTCCTATTGATTTTCCCTCCAAAATCCACTTCTAACTTGTCCCTTCCCTCCACACTGCTGCCTGGTGGCCTTGTCCAGGCTACCTTTATCTTTGCCTGGACAAATGCAGTTGCTTCCTGATTGCATGCTGGGTTTCTACTCTTACCCTTAGCCAGAGGAGGCTTTTAAAAATATACTGCTTTAGTGAGCTGAGATCACACCACTGTATTCTAGCCTGGGACACAGAGTGAGACTTGGTCTCAAAAAAAAAAAAAAACTGCTTTAGACCCCTCCACAACCACCCACTCCTCTAAGGCCAGGGCCAGAATTCCTTTGAGGTCTGCCAAGTGCTCAGGGTTACTGACCTCTCTGGTGGCCACTTGTATCTCCCTTCCTTCCTAGTAACACTGACCTTCTCTCGGGGTTCCTCCAGAGTGCCAGGTTCCCATCCCCTGGGTCCTTTGCATGTGCTGTCCCTTCTTCCAGAATGTTCCCAGCTGCCCTCCCAATGCTTTACCTGGACTGTTCCATTTCCCCTTTGGCCTTAGCTTAACCATCCTTTCCCAGCAAGCTTCTTTTCTGTCATTGCTCCCTGTTTGTTCTCTCCAGTGCGTGCCCCACAGATTACAAATCTCTGCTTTTTTTTTTTTTTTTTTTTTTGAGAGAAAGTTTCACTCTTGTTGCCCAGGCTGGAGTGCACTGTCGGCTCACGGCAACCTCTGCCTCCCAGGTTCAAGAGATTCTCCTCAGCCTTCCGAGTAGCTGGGATTACAGGCATGTACCGCCATGCCTAGCTAATTTTGTATTTTTAGTAAGAGATGGGGTTTCTTCATGTTGGTCAGGCTGGTCTCAAACTCCCGACCTCAGGTGATCCACCCGCCTCGGTCTCCCAAAGTGCTAGGATTATAGGCGTGAGCCACCATGCTCGGTCATAAATCTCTGCTTCTCTCTGTGTAATTCTCTTGCTTCATTCTCTCTCCACCCCCCTTCTCATGCACGTTCCCTGAGGGCAGGAAAAGTAACTAACTTCTTCATGTCTGAATCCCAGAGACGGGTACAGTGCCTGACACCCAGCAAGTGCACCACACAATTGGGCAGTGAATAAGAAAGGGCAGATGCCCAGGCAGAGAGGGCAGTGGAGCAAGCCCTTGGTTGCCTGTTGGGTGATTAAAACAACTGCCTTTGACATCTTTTCTTTTCAAGATCCTGTGATTCTATGACCTTGCCCAGCCCCACTACACACAGGATCTTAGAATGGGGGCGAGAGGGGTGCAAGAGCAAGGTGATCTCCTTATGGAAGTGTGTCAGATCCTTTCCATGTACCTCGAAGCTGCCTATCCTGCCCATTCTGCAGAACAAAGGGGCAGGTAGGTAGAGCCTGGGAAGGTAGAGATTCTAAAATGACTCTGTCCAACACAGCAGCTGGCCACTGCAGCTGTTGTAGGTGCGGCTGTTTCAATTACTTAGAATTTAATAAAACATTTGGCATTCAGCTCACACTAGGCACTTTTCACGTGCTTAGCAGCCAGTGTGGCTAGTGGCTATTGCATTGGACAGCACATTTACATCATCCCAGAAAGTTCTATCGGACAGAGCTACTCTAAACAGGTCAAATTCCATTGACATTCTCACCACCTCAACCTCAGGGAAGCACGCTGGGTGGAGTGGGTTGTAAACAAAACTACATGGGTCCAGTTGTGACCAAGGCTGACCAGGAGGGCACACTTATCGCTGACCCCCAGCTCCCTCACCTCTCTCCACACCCTGACCAGCCCGATGGGAGCCAGAACAACTTGACAAGAGCCCCTCGGCATGTAAGCCTCAAACAGCATTCATGTGGCTCCAGGATGTGGGTCCCGAGCCTCCTCCCCGGGCTCCTGGGGGCGCCTTGCTGTGGGAACCCCCTAAGAGGAGTCCAGCTCTCAGCAGAGTAGGGCCGGGCGCCCCCTGCTCTGGCAGCCCTGGTGAGAAGGGGTTCCCCTGCACCCCTTCTCACCCATCCACCTGGGGGCTGGGACGGGGAGGGCAGGGGAACTTCCTCCGGGGGGCGCATGATGACAGAGCCCTCGGTGGGTCCCGCGGAGGCACTGAGCCTCCCCGCCCGCCCGTCCCGCCCGCTCCGGGAGGGGGCGCCCAGCCTGGCCCGGCGCCCCCGCCCCGTCCGCTCGCACTCACGGAGTCACAGGAGCCACCATCTTGGGCGGTGGACGCTCTGGCCGTGGTCTCCTTGGGCTCCACGGAGCGACAGCAGCCACTAGCGGCAACGCGGGCGAAGAGGCGCCAGCAGCCGGCGCCGGCCGGGGTCGCGGGCAGGGCGGGCGGCGCCCGGGGGGCTCACCTGGCCGCGCCCACCTGCCGCGCCTCCAGCCCCGCGCGCTCAGCCCGGCCCCGCCCTCGGCCCCCGCCGCACGCGCCGCCGCAGGAGCCACTGAGGCTAGACCGCAGGCAGCGGGGGCCGGAGTTCACTCGGTCCGCGCGTGTATCCGGGGTTCCTCGAGGGGCTCACAGCCGTCAGAGACCGACAGGTAGAGCGCGGTGGAGGCTGCAAAAGGCTCTGAGAGTTTGGCAGCAAAGTGCTTTGCGATCACGAAGGAGCGGGCGGTCAGGTGAAGGTCTGCAGGGCGGGTTAATGAGGGTTCGCAGCATTATGGGTAAGTGGACTTTTACTAGGGGACGGGCACTCCTGGCAATGGGATGGCAGAGCAAGGATCCATTTGGAAGTTAACTGGGCGCTGCAGGTTCATGAAGAATTGGGGTGGGTGGGGGCAGTGCCTGATGCTGGATGGCTCCAGGGGAATGCTGGGAATTTTGACCTTCCCACCTGGTGGGGAATTGGAGCTGGGAAGCTCAACCCCACTGCAAATAACTAACAAGTTATTTGCAGTGGGGTTGACAGAGTGGGGAAGAGGGAGGGAGGTGGAAGTGACCTCTCTCTAGAACTTTCTGAGATACAGCCAACCCTCACCCTGTCTGTGTTACCCTGAGAGGTGAACTGAGGAGGTTCCCAGCAGGAGGAATGTGCGGTTGTGGTGCCACAACTCTCCCAGAACCAGAGGGACAGAGTCCAGAGGCCTGGGATGGAGCTCCAGTTATATTTAACTCTGAGGCCTTGGACTGGACACTTAGCTATGAGCCTGCCTTCTCATCTGTAAAGTGGGACTGACAACCCGGGAAGGAGGCTAGGGCAGGACAGAAATGGGTCTGAAGACCCAAGGAGGTGCTGGTGTGGAGGCCAGAGAGGAAGCAGGTCTGCTGCTGTGGATCAAGGAAATCTGGAGGCACCTGATGACCCGTCTCCCCTTCCAGACAGCATACAGTCACCCAGAAATGCCTTCCAATCCCCTCAAAATTGTGTACATTGCTCCCCTGCAAAAGGCCTAGGGTGCATGTTGATTTGTGGTCCTGGCCCCACCAGTGGCTGCTGGGAACTCCCCCGCCCCAACATCCTCCATGCAGCACAGCTCTGTGCCACCCACCGTCTGCCTCTGACATTCACTGTGAACCCCAGCCCTAGGGCTGTGGGATGGTGTGCAAGTCACATGCACACACACGTGTGGCCGCCTGACTCCTGGCTACACTCCAATGAAGGGAGATGCCGCAGCCCCCACAGCTGCCCCCGAATGGCACCACACAGCCCTGAGGTCTAGAATTCTGCACCCCGAAAGGGTCAGGATGCAGGTAGGTCTTCTTGGATGGCGTTTTGCAGCAGAACAGCCACCGTAAGTGTCTTGGAGCAGCCATGGCTCATTGGCCACTGCCTCAAGAGGGTAGGGTATGGTCAGAGGCATGGGCAAGCCAGACCAAGTACAGGAGAAGAGGCTGCCCCCAAAGGTCCAACTGAGGCTGGGGCAGGGCACAAAGCAGACATCTTGTAAAATAACATCACCCTGGCGGCCACCAAGGGAGAGGATCTGGGAAAACCACATCCTGCTGTTTTACCACAACTGAGAAACACACACACACACACACACACACACACACACACACACGAGCACAGACACACAACCTGGGGCCCATACCACCCATGGATAGTGACAGGTATACACATCAAGGCACACACATACATACCTCTCCCCACAGTTAGACGATGTATTCTCTCTACACACAAGATTCATATGGAGGTGGTACTGATGCCAAGATACACAGATACCCATGCTGGCTAGGAATCAAAGGCAGATACACTGGCCACGAAAGAGCGTGCGTGCATACACAGATGGGCACGAGCAACAGAGACATGCTTGTGTATACACATACCCAGAGAGACAGATGCACATGAACATGCAGACCCTTACAGATACAGACGGCGGACAGCAATGGGTACACAGTGGCACACACCTTCACAAGGACAGATGCATGTACACAAAGAGCCATATGCAGATGCAGAGATCGGTGTGCGCACACGCCCCCCTTACAAAAGTAAACGCATCGGACTTAAAAAAGCATATCTCCAAACAGAGTCTCTTTCCCACTTTCTCCAACCCCCCTATCCCCAAGTCACAGGGTGGACAACAGGGTCCTCCCAGAGGCACATGCATGCACACAACACATCTCAAATACTGACACTGCCATTTCTATCATGGATAAAACCTACACTCTGCGAAGAATATGGGAGTCCAGGGGAGAGAGAGCCAAAGGTGGGAGTGGGAGGTTGAGCCAAGACCCACCGCGTGCCCACTCCCACCATGGCCAGGGGGTTCACCCCCACATCCTCCAGAGCCGCTGAGCCACTTCTGGGTCATCTAGCACTCAGGATGTGCAGACTCCCCCACAAGCTGGAGGAAGACTCCAAAGCCCAGTCACAAGAGAAACTCTGCCCCCAGTTCCCCTCCAGGCCTTTGCCCCCAAGGAAAGGGTTCCCCAAAACACCCTTTGATGGGTGATGGCTATCTCCCTCAAAAAAGGCCAGGCAACCCTCTGTGGAGAGGTGAGCTGAGAGACCACAGATAAAGGCAGGGGGCATTAGTGTGGACCCCAGTACACTGGCCAGATCTCAGGGAGGAGACACCCTGATTTCCATCTCCCTCTGTCTGCTTCTTTCTCTGCTGCAGTAACAGCTCCCTCTTCACTCCCCTCGGATGTCCCCCCATCCCCCGGCCCCTCAGAGGCGGTTAAAGGTGAGGTCTGATACGAGGAACCTTTGACACAGGCTCCCTGGACAGGTGTTTGCCCAGATGTCCGGCACCCCTGTTTCCTGCAGGGTAGACCTCCAGCTCCCCACCATTCCTGCCCCTCCTTCCACCTTTGTTCTCGGCCAGAGTGGGGGCTTCCCTGCCCAGCCCTGGACCTGGGAAAAGGGCTGAGTCAACTGGCTACTGGCGTCTCTGACAGACAACTTTTGGGGGCCAACGATAGCAGGAAAGAATTGGGCTGGGGAGAAGGGAGAGGACCACCCTCACCTAAGCCCTCTCCCCACCTCCCAGCCCAGGTGTCCTCAGCACTCACCCAAGAGCATTCTCTGCCTTTGGAGGCACCGTGGAGCGCTGAACCTGGAGCAAATGAAACCCAGCCAGAGTGACAGAGGGAAGGGGGGGATGTGAGGGACAGGAGGGGAGGGCGCGAGGGAGGGACTCCTGGTTCTGCCTGGAAAGCAGCATCATTCCTGGGCCCTGTCTCTCTTTGTGAGTAAGGAGCTGCCCATTCTCTGGTTTCCCCCATCCCTATTGCAGGTGGAAAGAACAGGGCATGTTCTTCCCCCAAGGGAGAAGTGTGGGGACAAATGTGCAGACCAGGACCTGGGGGAGGGTACCAGAGAGCATCCGTCACACACCCCACTCCTGGAGAAGACCCTTGCCCGGGGCCTTTTACACTAAAGCAAGGGTTGGCAGGGCTGACTTTGTCCTCAGGGACCTCCAGGGAAGGAGCTGCTGCCCTGCTTTGCCTGCTGGACCGCTCTGGCCGCCCTCTTGCCTCAGGACTTGCTGCTGCAGGGGCCCATTCCTGCCCAGCCGCACTCATCCTCTCTTCACCATCCCTTAAATAGAAGGGGATGCTGCTGTTGTTGAAGAGGAAACTGAGCCTCAGAGAGGTGTTGCCACTTTATCCAAGAGCACTGGCCACGTGGGGTTGGGAGCGGGGATCTAGGTGTCTTGCCACTGTTAGTCTAGTGTCCTGCCTGGACCCTTGGATCTGCTACCTGGGCAATGCCAGGAAGGAGAGCAGGGAGTTTATCTATCTGATCCACTACAACGTTTGTTTTTTTTTTTTGTTAACAGAGTCTTACTCTGTCACCCAGGCTGGAGTACAGTGGTATGATCTCGGCTCACTGCAACCTCCCCCTCCCAGGTTCAAGCGATTCTTCTGCATCAGCCTCCAAAGTAGCTGGGATTACAGGTGCCCACCACCACACCCAGCTAATATTTGTATGTTTAGTAGAGAGGGGGTTTTACCATGTTAGCCAGGGTGGTCTCAAACTTCTGACCTCAAATGATTCTCCTGCCTTGGCCTCCCAAAGTTTTAGGATTACAGGCATGAGCCACCACACTCCTGACACCCACTAGAACTCCTGACACCCCTCCCCTGCCCACCCTGATCCCCCATTCTTCTCCCCTCCATTTGCTCCTTCCTTTCCCTCCTCTTCCTAAAAGCTAGCTCTTGCTGACCTGAGCACCTGGTGGGTGGGAGGGGGCAGAGTCGGGGAAGGAGGCAGCCAGCCCACAGCTGGTTCCAGTCCTGCATTCCAAGCCCAGGTCCCAGTGCTAGCCCCCCACCCCCTCAGCATCCTGTCTCCACCAGACAATAACCTGTAATCTCTGGAGCAGCCAACACTGACAAAGAAGATCTGGGAGGAGTTGGCAGCAGCAGCTCCTGAAAACAGGTTTGTTAGGAAGGGGTTTTGTGGGGGAGGAGTTGTTTGTGTGGGGAGAGGAAGGAAACTCAAGCCCAGAGCTAATTAACCCACCCAGAGACACAGACAGAATCTTTGTCTCCTTCCAGGGCAGGTATCTGAACTAAGCCCCCTAATTCTCTACCCAGACGGCCTTGCTTTTCCTGGTGGTCCTGGGGGAGGGGGATGCCAATGGTCAGGGTCACGCCTGGGGGAGGGGGATGTGATGACATTCAGGAAGCGAGTGGGGCACTTGTGTCACCTGCCACCAAGGGAGAACGGCGGCAGGAGGCAGAGGCAGGTCAGACTGCAAGAAGAACTTCTCAGTGGACTTGGGGGAGCTGTTCTTTGCAGCATGCACCCAAAAGCCTCCGTATGTGTGTGGGAGGTGGTGACTGGGGAGGAAACGGCAACCCAGGGAGATACTGAAGAATGGGGGACAGGCTGGAGGGCTTCCAGGACCTCCTGATGGGACTGAAATTAATCCATCTGCAGGGAGTGGGGGTGAGAAACTCATCAAGCCAGTGACTCAGGCATGACCTGAGCTCAAGGTCTTTGATCTCTGGGGCCCAGGATGCACCCAGAAGCTTCTGCAGTCAAAGACTTGGAGAGGCGATGGAGGGGCTGATTCGAACAGGAGCTAGGGGAGGTCTGAGGGTGCAGAGTAGGGGAGCCCAGCTTTGACCTGCCACTCTGACCACTACCCCTCTCCCGCTGGAAGGCACAGGGACATGTGGTGCAGCTACAGCTGTCTTGGCCCTGAAATCCACTATAGTCTGACTCGATCTCTGCTTTCCTGTCTCCTGTACAGTCTACCTTGCACTACCTGACCAAAGTTCTGGCCATTTCAGCAAGCCAGAGCTTAAGTCATTTCAGAAATCCCCTCCTCTCTCCCTTCCTGTGTCATGTTGCTATGGATGCTGGGGGCCGTGGGGCAGGTCCACTCTGAATTGGATGGCTGGGTTCTTTCTACTAAGAGCCAGAGGAGGGACTGGTTGGCTTTAAGAAGCTACTCTCCCCATCCCTAGCCAGATGGCTGGCATCTTCCCATTTTTTAGTTAAGCACACATCAAGGGACAGGGCAGAGGAGTGGCCACAGATCACTTGTGGAATCATCTGCTGGGACAGCCTGCCCTCTCTGGGCCGTACTGCTCCCCACTCTCAAACATGGCTCAGTTGCTCCTAATATATGTTCCTCTCCTCAGCCAGGCATCAGAGACAAGTGTGAGATAGAATTTAGAGTCAGAAACCTGAGGCTGGGTGCAGTGGCTCATGCCTATAATTCCAACACTTTGGGAGGCTGAGGCAGGAGGATTGCTTGGGGCCAAGAGTTCGAGACCAGCCTGGGCAACACAGTGAGACGCTGTGATGGTATGGTGTGGCTGTGTCCCCATCCAAATCCCATCTCGAATTGTAGCTCCCATAATTCCCTCGTGTTATGGGAGGGATCCAGTGGGAGATACTGAATCATGGAAGCAGTTTCCCCCATACTGTTCTCATGGTAGTGAATAAGTCTCATGAGATCTGATGGTTTGATGAGGGGAAACCCCTTTGGCTTGGCTCTCATTCTTCTCTTGTTTGCCACCATGTGAGACATGGCTTTCACCTTCCGTCATGACTGTGAGGCCATGTGGAATTGTGAGTCCATTAAACCTCTTTCTTTTGAAAATTGCCCAGTCTCTGGTATGTCTTTATCAGCAGCGTGAAAATTGACTAATATACCCTGTCTCTACAAAAATTTTTAAAAATAAAAATTTAGCCAGGTGTGGTGGGGCATGCCTGTAGTCCCAGCTACTTAGGAGGCTGGGGGAGGAGGACTGCTTGAGCCCAGGAGGTCGAGGATGCCGTGAGCTATGATTGTGCCAGTGCACTCCAGCCTGGGCAACAGAACAAGATGCTGTCTCAATAAACAAAACAAAATAGAGTCAGAAACCTAGGACCCAAACCCAACTGTGCAGCCTTGGGTATTACCTAATCCCCCTGAGCCCCACTCTCCCAGTTTATAAAGTAAGTGCTGAAAGTCATCATCTGTGCCTAGGATAACGGGGTGAGGAGGGAATGTCACACTGCAGATGCTCCACATGGGGCTGGGGGTAGATCATGGCTCCTTGCCCAGCTGTCCTCCCGATGCCCTGTGCTGGTTCAACATCTGCATCAGAGGTTAGGGTGAGGGGACAGCAAACCTCTGTCTCTTTGC